GAGACCCTGTGAGCTGGGAGAGCAGTTAGGGGGCTATCTGTGGAATGTGGGACGAGAGGTGAGGGAAAGAGACGGTATGAAAACTGTCATGGAGAAGGGACCTGCCACGCCTTGGCTGCTGAGAATGTAGCGATGGGAGCAAGAGTCCAAGGGGCTTCCAGCCTCCAGAGGCTGAGCAACCGGAAGGCAAGGGGGACGGAGGTCTGGAAGAGAAGGGCAGATTGGGGGATCCTGGGGCCTGGCCAGAGGTTCCACACAGCGGCACCTGCTGATAGGGGATCCCAGGAGAACTAGGGTAGAGAAAGGAGGGGAGACAGCCCAAAGCAGGCCCTGTGCCCTGGGGGAGGGATGGGATGGCAGAAGGAAGCCTTGGCAGAGAGGCAGAAAGACAAGAAACCGAGGGCGGCGTCCAGGAAAGGGGGGAACCTGAAGTTAGGCTCAGGGCGAGACTTCCTTCCTGCTCATCTGCCTTCAGCTTCTCGGCTCCCCTGGCTGCTTGTCTCTGGACTCCAGGTAGCAGCTGATGGGTCCAGCTTTCTTAGCTGGACCTGGTCCTAGCTCCTGCCCAGTGTGGCAGCCTGCCCCCATTCCTCTGCCACCCTCACGCTCCAGACTGACCTCCGGTGTCTGCCTAACCAGGCCTGACCCTGCCTCTGTCCACTCCAAACCTGGGGCTCAAGGCTGAGACAAGGCTGAGCCACCCAGGCCCTGGGAGGGCGTGGGGGCTTTCCTGGTTGGGAACTGACTTGGGTCGTGGCCTTCTCTATCCTGGCTGAGGGGCTTAGAAGAGGAGAACTGCTCCGTTTTGTTGAAGCCTCTAGTCTGCAGGAGGCAGGCAGCCATCATGGCAGCTTGGCTCTGGGGGCATCTTGGAATTAGGGTTCGAGGTCCTGGGAAGCCCTGGGGGTTTTCATCACCAGGGCATGGCACTTCCTTGTCCGGGCCGGGACCCTCCCTCTGTGCCCCAAGTCTCAGACCCCGGTACCTAGCATCAAAGGCAGCATGGCAAAGTGAGGTGGGGAGGGGACTCTGAAATTGGGTCCCCAGCTCTTCTGTCTCTCTTACCCCCCCACCTCATCTTCATCTCTCTCCCTCCTTCCATCCTGCTTCTCTTTCACTCTGTCTGTCTAGGTCCCAGACTCTAGGACTTTGTCTGTGTCCCAGTCTCCCCCGCCCCCCCCCCCCCCCCCCGGTTTCTCTGCTCTGCGCCTCTCCTTCATGCTGGAGTCTGCCCAGAGCTGCTAATGCATCCGTAGCTTGTGACACGGTGCTCCCAGGGTTCTAGGGTTATTCTTCCCGTCCCCTTGGTCCCATCCCTCCTCGTTAATGGCAGCAGTGACAGGCAGTGATGACAGCCGTCTCTGGCCCGCAGCCAGCAGTGGCAGCAAAAGATGGGGGACTCCTCAGGGAGGAGGCAGCTGGGCTGCATTGGGGCCCAGCTCCCCAGGGAGTTTCCCCAGCCTCCATCTCTCCCTGGCTGACCCTAAATGCCCTCTTTTCTTGCTGACCTTGAAGTGACCAGGCTCAGTGACCCCCACGGGGAGGGGGGAGGGAGGTCACCTGCTGGGCTGGGCACCTGGTGGCATCTAGTGGATGCCAGGGAGGCCCCCCAGCCAGGTGGAAGCAGGGCCTGGACCTGGCTTGGGGCCTCCTGATGCCATCAGCTCCTGGGTGGGGGGATGCCTCCGACGGCCCTGGAGGGGCCCTTTGATCTCCATCAGGCCCAGAGAGTGTCTGTGCCTCATGGCGATCACACAGCTCCTATGGGGGGTCTAGGATGTTTCCCTAAGTTTCTATGAAGGGTCCCTAGCTCGGGGCTCAGCACCGATGATGCCCAAAGATGAAGCTTGCCCTGCCCTCAAGAGCTTATGGCTTCCCGGGGCTGAGGGAGGGAAGCAGCATGTTCACAGATCAGTAAATAAGGTCATTTGAGGAGGGGAAGAGACCAGGAAAACACTGAGAGGAGGACACGGGTTCAGAGAAGCAGAGGTGAGGCAGGCAGGAGGCACAGCCAGTACAAAGGCCTGGAGGGGAGATGGAACAGTAGGTGCTGAGCTAGCTGGTGTGGTTGGGCCAGTGGGTAGAGGCTGTAAAGGGAAGCAGGGTGGTGGCTGTGGAGGGCAGCCCGGGGGTCTGCCTGCTCTGAGCACAGCCCGGTGGCCCTGGGGAGTGTAAAATCCAGAACGGAGTACCCCCCGCCCCAGGCCATTGCCCACCTCTTGGCTGGCCCCTGAGAGGGGGAGGGGGCTTCGACTGTGAGGCCCAGGGGCCATGTCCTCTTCCCTCCTGCCGCTGGAGATGCCTCAGGACCGACGTGAATCCTGGCCCGCCCCCTCCCCAGCGCCTGCCCAAATTTTCGCCACCTGTTTATAGTTAGTTCCTCATTTCAGAATAGCAGATCAGACATTGCCCTGTTAAAAACAATTTTCCCTGCCGGTGTCGGATATCAGGCCGGGCTTGTCGTCCTAACTGATAGACATCAGAGGAGCCTCTGCCAGCTGCCAATCACAGAATCTCGCTCCACAAACAGGATTCAAATGACCCTTCACAGCCGGCCTTGGCTTTCCGGCCACTGTCAGGAGGCCCACACGCCACCATAGGACACTTGGGTCAGACGGCCGCGGCGGTCAGTGTGCCACCAAGGTCTCAGGATGTGGCCGTGAAAGGCACTGAAGTGGGGAAACCACAAGGGGAGGTCCTGGGGAGAGCTCTCGGGAACCCCTCTCTCCTGGGCAAGGTTCTGCCCTGCCAGTGCCCAGAGCCCATGGGCCAGGAAAGAGCCCTCCCCTTATTTCCTATGGGAGATGGTGGCCTGGCCACATTATCTGACATGGCGGCCCGCTCTGTGTGCCTCATGGGTGGTCCTCACCCTCCAGCACTTACTGGGTGTTCCCAGGCCTTGGGCATCATCACCCACCCGTGGTCACAGTGGATGAAGGGCTGAATATTTGGTAGACAGACCCATTGGAAGCTCTGTAACTTCTGTGTCTGGAGGAAAGAGACTAGGGACTGAGCTCATGAATTCTGCGACGTGCCCACAAGTGGACAGGAAGGACCGGAGCACCGCGTCACAGGCCACGGTCCCACCACTGGTCGCTGGTCGGTGCGGGGCCTGAAGTTCATCCTAGGTCTTCTGGGTTCCTGGCCCCCTTTCCTCAGCCTGCTGGCAGCTTCGGCCACCTGAGAGTAGGACAGAGGTCCAATGTTAGGGAGGAAGCCCATGACGGGCCCCTGTGGGGAGCAGCTGGGGGAGTCCCCGCCAGTGCTGAGGCAGAGCCACGAGGGGACCCTTTGGACAGTCGGGCTCACCAGACCACGTCCCCAGGGCTGGTCCGAGGGGGTCGTGGCACTCTGTTGTCCCATCTCCCAGGCTTGGAGTGAAGACCCCATGAGAACCTGGAGAAGTACTAGGCATCAGCTATGGAAAGCCCAGGGAGACTGGGGGGGACTGGGGGGGGGCCCTCGACCCCTTCTCAATGATGCCGTCATTTTCTCACTACACATCCGGAGGCATCCCCTGGGAACGCAGCTCAGCAGCTCTGTGTGCCCCCAGCCTGGGGAAGCCCTCCTGGACCCGGGGTGTGGAAAGGGGGCCCCGAGGTAACAAACGGCTGTTTCCTCCCCTGGCCGGGCCTCCAGTGTGGAGGAGAAGAGTTGTTTTGTTTTAGCTTTTAAAAATATTAACACCTAGTATATTTAACGAAGTGCTTACTGAAAATCCTGAGAAAAGTCCTCCCAAGCTTGACTCTTGTCGGCAGATTTGGGAGGACCTGGGCTTGCGTTCCTGACTGGCAGTGGGGGTGGCTAGACGGGTCCAGGGGCTGCCTCTACTAGCCTCCACCACTCTCCGGGCAAGGCATGGCCCCCATGGCATCAGGCTCTGGCACGAGCACTGAGCCCCAACCCAGGAAACTCATCACAGGATGGAACAGACAAAAGCCAGGCTTTCTTTGTCCTTGCTGCTGTGACCAGAAGATGGACCCTCATCTCTGAAACATGGCCCTACAATCCTGGACGGGCTGGTAAATTAGGAGCTTAGAAAGCCAGGCAGCCCGGAGTACTGCAAGGGACTTTGCAGACACATATTCTAACCACTTTGTTTTACAGAGAGGGAAACTGAGGCCAGAGAGGGGAAGGGACTTGCCTGAGGTCCAATGCCAGGCTCTCTTACACAGGTTCAGTCCCCCTACCCTTACTAGGGGAGCCCCCAGAGCAGAGCAGAGGCCTGGAATGCTGTCTTTGCTTTTTATTTTTGTGAGTGGCTGTGTGCCCCTTTCTGCTGCCAGAGAAGGGAAGAAGGGAACATTTATTAAGCACCTACTATGTGCTGGGCACTACACTAATATACTCTCATTTGAGCCTCACAAGGCAGGGAGGCAGGTGATAGTATTATCCCCATCGTTAACCCAGTTGAGGAAACTGAGGCAGCAGTGGTTAAGTGACATGAGTGGAGAAGAGTGGGCCACATTTGCATGTGGCCAGAGAAGCCATCTGCGGGCGCAGTTCAGGAAAGGCAGAGGCCCTGGGGGGTGCTGACTTTCTTTGGGGCACCCAGAGCAGATCCGGTGCCCTGCCTGAATAGTTTACCTCCGGGTGGTAGATGACCTGCGGTCAGACCCCAGCTGAGCCCTTCTCTGTAGGTCAAACAATACATTACTTTGGTGAGAAATGAATTGGGAATGAGGCGTCTGGCTAGCAGGTGTCCCACAGACAGAGCAAGCCCCAGCTGGAAACTTTCCGGCTCCAGGCTCCTTCCTGGGCTGGCCAGGAAGATGCTTCAGGGGTCACAGACAATCCCAAACATCAGAGAGAGATGTTTCCCTGGAGAGGGGCAGCAGGTGCCTGGCTCCAGGGCCTTTAGGGAGACTTTCAAGTAGGGTTTCAGGGGTCCCTTAAGGGTCCAGAGAAGCCCCTCTATGGTGAGGCCCCCAAAGACCAAAGACTTGGATGGTAAAAGGAGAGCCCTCTGCCATTCGCCCCTTCTCTCTTTGCTTTTCCAGAGGATGAGGAAGACGAGGAAATGGTGGAGGCCAAGGTTCGGAACGACTCAGACCTGGAGCATCCAGATGAGAAGCAGGAGGTGAAGGAAGGTACGGTGCCTTTCCTTGCTGGGCATCAGGTGGGAAGGGGTCGGGGGAGGCCCAGTAGGGTGGTATGTGGCCACCCCAAGGGCAGCACTCAGCGGGCACTGTTCAGGCCCTGGGCGTCACAGAAACAGATGCTGTGCCAGCTGGAGGGCATCTCTGATTGTCTAGAAAGCCTGGTCCTTGGGCAGATCTCTGGGCTTTCCCTGCACCTCTGCTGCTGGCGGTGCCCCTCCCCCCCCGCAGTCTTCATCGTGTGAAGCTGCCCACGCCCCAGGTGGGCTCCACAGATGCTCTTAGAGTAACTCCTGGCACCAGAGTACGAGGCTGTCCTTTGTGGGAGCCACCCGCCTGCCTTGTTCCCTCTTTTGCCCGTCCTCACCCGCTCCCTCCTCATGCCATGGCCCACTGAACCCCCAGGGGCATCTTCCCATTGCCCTTCAGGTTTGTCCTTTTAATTCCTCAGCAGCTGAGGCGTCCCATGGGCATAGCTGCGTCTCATCACCAAAGAACGTTTGAGGTAAAGGGATGGGCTCCTGTGGTGGCCAGGAGCCTGAGATCCCAGGAAGGACCTTCTGGGCGGGCTATGGCCCGCTGTCTCCCTAATTCTTCCTCAGTTCTGGGCTCAGCTCATGGCCCACATGCAGTACCTGTCTGGGCTGGGAAGGGATGGATCTCAGTCTGCATCTCTCATCCACTTAGTCATCCCAGTGTGGCTGGTTAAACCAAGCCCTTTCACACTGCCCTGGATGGCATCGACTTGGGATTGCGGGGTTCTGTGGCTTGGTGCCATTCCTACAGCTTCAGCTGGGCTGAGGGGCAGTGGGGTCCGGGCTGGCTCTCATCAGGACACTGCGTAAGCATGGTACTTGGAGGTGTGGGCAGAGAGTCTCAGTGGTGTGGCCAGAGAATCAGAAGTGTGGCTAGACAATTCCTCCAGTGCCTGGTAGTGAGGAGGAAGAGGAGGAAGAAGGAGGAAGGAGGAGGAGGAGGGGGGGGAAGAGGAGGAAGAAGGAGGAAGGAGGAGGAGGAAGGAGGAAGGAGGAGGAGGAAGAGGAGGAGGAAGAGGAGGAAGAAGGAGGAAGGAGGAGGAAGA